AACATTAGAAATCAGAATGAAGAAGAGGCAAACATATGTCAAAAAATATTATAATCCTCAAATTAGAATAAATTTTCTCACTAAGGAACATGCCACAAATATAATCACATCTATACCTCTGAGTTGCTTCAACATGAGATCGAGTTATATGCAAAATATCCAGCAACTAAATTTGGTAAAATCTCTTACATAATATGTCATCATACCACATTTTGTAACTTTGAGAGAAGAAAAATAATAAATTAATTGTTCGAGTAAATAATTTTAATTTTTTTAGAATATTATGTAGACATGATATTTAAGTGATGTTGAAGAATGATTATTTTCATTTCTCGAATAAATATCCCCCTTGATGGAGATTAGAAAGCTCATTGATCCCACAATCAAGAGAGATAATCAAGTGAAACGATAACTCTTCCATTGAGTTACGAACACTAGCTCAATGACTAGAGGTTGAATCTTTAAAGACAAAATATTGTTTTGAAGTACTGACTATTAAGGAGTTAGAGAAAGTCATCAAGTTGGTAAAAGACATTCATGAGCAAGAACATTCTGTTGATCTCTAATATGTTCTTCCCAATGGTAATGATTGTGATGTTAAAATTTATCACTTCTAAAATAAAAGAACGACCAAAAGGATCAAGGACAAAAGAACGAGTTGAAATTACAAAGAAACACCATCAATATCATTTTTCTATCTGTGGTGCAACTGATCATGACTTGAAATTGTTCAACCAATAGAAAAAATGCATTATCATTACCAACTCAATCTCCTAATTACAAATTAGCTTGTTTAATTTATATTTACTGAGTGTCAATAATGTGTTATTGAGTACATTTTATTTATTTATTCGATTTCATTTAATAGGATGACAAAGGGTGGGACAAAGTTGTCTTAGATGAGAGCATGAGTTGATCAATAACACCACTGAAGGAACAAATAATTATCATTTAGTGGAGTTATTTTTAATTTTCATTTTGAATTAAGAAGTTGGACTATTTTATTTCATGGGAAATATGCACTTTATGATATTTATTTCATGTGAAATTGTACTTTATGATATTTTATTTAATTTGGTGATGGCACTAACTAACACTTTCAGACTATGCAGGATGTGTGAACTCAATGAAATCTACATTTGGGTATGTCTTTTTAATGGCTGGAGGAGCCATATCACGGAGAAGCGGAAGACAATCCGTAATTGCTACGTCCACCATGGAAGTTGAGTTTGTGGCATGCTTTGAGGCCACAAACCATGCATTGTGGCTGCGGAACTTTACTTCAAGACTTGGCATTATAGACAGTGTAGCTAGGCCGCTGAAGTTTTATTGTGATAATTATGCAGCTGTCTTCTTCTCTAAGAATGACAGATATTCCAGAGGTACCAAACATATGGACTTAAAGTTTCTGTCAGTTAAAGAAGAAGTACGGAAAGAGAAGGTGTCTATAGAGCATATTGATACCGATCTAATGGTAGCGGATCCGTTAACTAAGGGATTGTCGCCCAAAATTTACATTGGCCATATAGAAAGAATGAGTGTTACAGATAAGTCCTTGTTAATGTGATAATACCTTATGTATATATACATGTATAGTTGTTTGCTTATTATTGTATGATACATTTGAATTCAATGAAATTTCATTTCCGTAATTAAAGTTTAAGTTATCCATATTAAAGAATGTACTTGTATGGTTTTAATGAGATAACTTAGTGAGTTTTCGAAAGGTAAATGAAAACTCAAATTAAAGTTAGTTGAGTTGAGTTGATTGTGATACATGGAAGGGATCAGGTTGCCTCACATAATTTGTCACCATCATGATTCAATCATTTCAATTCAATCAAGGATGGTGATTTGTAAGGTTCAATTAAAGTGCGCAATTAATGTTATGAATCATCAAGTCATCACATGGACCAAGTGGGAGATTGTTAGATTAATTCAGCAATTTGTGGTCCATGTATTTGGAATTTACTAGTTTGAATGTGAGTGCCTAATGTGATGATGGTTGGCAATTAAATGATCAAACTAGTGGGAGTTATTACTAACTTTCTCCCCTCTCACTTCATGAGTGGAAGTTTCCATGATAGAGGAGGAGTTACAACTCCTCCTACTCTCCTTCTATAATAGAGACATGTGCTTTGGAAAAGAACAAACTATCACATGCTATCTCATAATCAGTATCAAAAAGAGAGAATTAAGAACATTAGTGTCATATAGAGAATGGAAGGAAACTGAGTTCCTAATCATCAAGGAACGTATAAAGGGAAGGCGGAGATGTGAGAACAAAGACAATCAGAAAGGCAACCAGAAAGTGAATTAGAAGATATATCGCTATGGAACCAGGTATTCCTCGATCTCTTCATTTATCACATGTGAATGTCATAATGTCAAGATCCTAACTAAAGGGTTCTTATGAACCATCAAAAGCTCATAAAATTATTCTTAAAATTCTAACATGGAACTCCGCAGTGGTTGGAGGCTCCTCAGTTGCAGTCTGGTCTAACAGTTTTAATCACAAAATAATTCATAAGTAATGCTTATAAATTTAAACTTTAGGGCATGCTGGAAGCTGGAGTTGGATATAAGAACGTTTGTGGTTAAACCAAATTCTACTTTTTGCTCCATTAGTAATATAAATTCTTATGATTTTTTGCATTGGTGTATAAATTCTTATGATTTTTTGCATTGGTGTATAAATTTTAGATCTTGTATATCACTCATATTATTAATGGTAACCGCTCTTGATTGAGTTTTTCTCTATATTTATTAGGTTGGCACCACTTATACCTTTTTATTGAATCAATTTGCTTATAAAAAACTGGATAATAGTCAATTATCCTAAGGAAGCAGCCAATAAAGGTAGGAATAAGCTTATCGAAAGGACAAAAAACTTGGAGTCTCAGATTTTTAAGCAGTGTAGTATTCATTTTTCTCATACCTGGAGAATTAATAGTTATGTTGACTAACTAGTTAACTAGGGTTGTAGTCAAGAGTGAATTTGTTGAAGTTTCATATTCATTTACGTATGGGTAATTTAAAAGTCTTCTAATTAGATAAATTTGTGGTTTTGTAGAAGAAATGTCTTAGGTTTTGAACTAAGATTTGTTGTTTTGTCTACTTATGGAATTTTTATGTGTAAATCTTCCGAGTTTGGAGTTCCCAATTTTTTAATAAGTGATATCAAAGTCGATAATTCAATTAAGCTAAATATTAATATATGATAATTATTTGTGAACATATTTATGTGATCCCTTATGTTGAAAGTCTTATTAATGGTACAAATTTTAAGAATATTTGTAGGAAGTATACTAATAATATGATTCACACTTGAAAAGTAGTTTGTTGGGGCAAGTATGAATTTGTTGAAGTTTGCATTGGCTAAGTATTATTTAAAAATCTTATAAATAAATAAACTTATAAACCTAATCCCTTAATATTTTGGACTAAAATGTGTTGTCACGTATGCTTATTGAATTTTTATTTGTTGTGTATCTATTATTTATAAACTCTCAATTTTAGGCTTCCACAATTTCCTAGCAACTAGAGCTTATCGTGAGATTATGGTTTAAATATTTATATTCTATTAGAGCAAATTTTTAAACGAAAGACATAAAACAAATCAATATGTTAATTCTTTAGAGAAAAAAAGGTTCATGTTAGTTAAGTTTTAGTTTTTAATAACTTTTTTATATTTAATTTTAAATATTAAACCTGTACATATATTAGGCAATTAGATTTTTTGAAGAAAGGTGAAGTTAGCCCACTTTACAAAATTTAAATTCACACACTAACATTTATATCTATCAACTGAACTGAGTAGTTGACCATATGATTTAGAATTTAATATAAGGGAGGAGATCCATTAAGTAGGAAAAAAAAACTACTCAACATCTTATTTATTCATTCTATGAAAATCTAATGATTGAAATTAGTGAGTATATTTAAACTATTAGACATAGAATAAATGACTAAAATAATGATTAGTTTTTTTGATTTACTCTTGGAGTAAGTGAATCTATTCCCTTAATATAAATATCCAAATACATTATTTGGTCAAATAATGAACAAGATTAAGAGTTTAAAACTAGTTGCGTGCTTCCATTAATTTCAGCAACGTTGAAGATTCCAGCTCACTAAAATAACACAACAAAGTATGTATGAGTTGAAATTTTCAAAGTCGTTGTTTTGTTTGTAACTTCGACGTTTTTCCATTTAACTTCAAACCTATTTTTCCAATTAAATATTATCAAAGACTTTTCTTGTGCCAATAATTCATAGCCACTAGCAATTTCCGGCAAAAAAAAAAGTCAATACTATGATGCTACATGTTCAAGAAAGATTCCTATGAAGATAATAATAATTGTTTATGTAAGCTATTATATTAAGAACTCTAAAATGTAAAATTTACTTTCGAAAAAAATATGTTGTATTTATTATTTTTATTTTCGAATTTTTCATTAATGCTTGTAGGTTAGTGATTAACATGACCCCATTAATTAGTTTTCACAATTATATATAACCTAGTGTTTCTCCTTAAATAAAACCTAAGTTTGAATTTTTGTCATAGAATAAAAATCTATTAAGAAAGATAACCCCATATGTTGTGAATTTTTTCCATTTGTATAAGACATAGAAAAAATCACAAATATTAGATAGAATTATGATTTTATTAATTTAGATTATTTGTATAAGGATGTGACTCAAATCGGAATAGGTGTTATTTTGATAAATGATAACAATTTATATGAACTATCAGATCTAATTCGAGCGGTCAACATTAAAATATATATGCATATGACTTTTTCAATTGATGATATCACTAATAACTAACTTTTAATCTTAACCATCCATGTAAAATTGTAAAATACAAATTAAATTCATTATTCTCACTGTTTTTAAATCAAAATTATTTTGAATTGAGTCACTAAATTATCTTCTTTAACAACTCACGCCTCTCTTTATTTCAACACCTAGATTTAACTTGTTAGTAATAAACAAAATTATCTTTATGTATCTTACCTTCCATTTTTATAAAGTTATTGATTATTATTGTATTAGTGAGGAGAAGGAACCTCTCACTTTAAATAGAGAGAAACATTTATCATTTTACAAAAGCTAAGAGAACCACCAAATTATTTTTCATACCAAACCCATTCTTCTCTCTTACAACTTCAACTCCAATATCACATCTTTGTTTACTTCTATGGGAACTCTAGCACCAAATGATACCAACTTTTATGGCAACAACAATGTAAGTATCTCTCTTACTTTCTCATTCTTTTAACTATTTTCTCATTCTTTATCACCATGTATGTATGGTTCATAGTTCATACTATGTTTCAATTTCACCTAAACATTCAACATACAACTAAAAGGACATAGATAACTTAATTTCACTCTTAAAATTTCTTTGTAGAGTCCTATTCATAATCCCGACCTTCACTTCTTTGTTGTCGAACTTTCTTTTCTTTTCTTACTTTCTTCTTCGCTAAGAAATTTTCACACTTCATGAGAGATTTCATGAATGGCCGAAACTCTTCTTTCTTAAGACTTAAGAGATTCTACGAGTTTTAAATTGTAGTTCACAATTATAATTATTTTTACAACACAGATGTTATAGGAATCTCCTTTATTGCATATAACCATTACGCCAGATACGTTAAGCAACCACACTTATTTTGGGCCTATAACAATGCTTCTATTGTTAAAGAAGATTTTCTGGAGAACCTTCAATCTCAAATTAAAATCATGGAATAGTGATAGGAGATTTACAAGAAACATTAGACACCCTTTTGCACAAAGTGATGATATAATGTTATTGTATAGTTAAAAGATGACCAAGAGAATGAATGGCATGGGGTGAAGCTCATGCCATGTTTGACCAAACTTCACTTTGAATTTTCCATAAATTCATTTGGCCTAGTTTTTTTTGGTTCCCATGTGAATACATATGCATGAATATTCATTTGAAACAGCCATTGATAAACAAATGATCTCAACGTAAGAAAAAAGTCGTCGTAACTACACCATGAAAGCGTAAAGATTTATACATAGTCGGAATATCATTTAATATTCATTTGTATTACTCTGATTTAAGAGTCAAAAATAATTAAAAATGAATGGTAGATGATACAATGAGAGTATAAAAATTATATTTTCTGCTTTTGAAAAGTACAAATTTTAGTGATTTAATTGAGGTTAATTATTTTGACATTAAGAACTCACATCAAATATAATACCATGGGGCCTTTGAAAAGATTGGGTGGTTACAAACTATAGACATCTATCTCTACATGTGAAGATTAACATAATTACACTCTAAAAAAAGACCCAATATTTTACTAAATTTGAAAAAATACCCTTTTTGAGATGTATATTAACTTATTAAGTTATCCCTAGTATCCACTAGTACCTAAGAAAGTTAACTAAATTAGTACTACATACGTCTCATGTGATTCAAAATTCAAATTGATATTAAATACTATTCTGTGAAATGACTATTCTATCCCTAAGTCAACTATATGTTACATAAAGTTCTCATTAGGCCAAGTGTCAGAGATCAGTGTAAATAAGTCCATATAATTAATGAGGCCAAACCTTATGTGTATTATTATTATTACAACGACATAATTAGGTAAAAAGTTAAGGACATAATATAATATATATGGGTATTTTGAAATCAATAATTTATATTTGTTCAGAACTATTGGTGTGAGACCATACAATAATCTCTCATATATTCATTCTCTTAAACCAAAATAAAATAAAATCATGTCCTCAAAAAATAGTATCATTATTATTATTTTTCATTTTTAAAAACTCCCAACACATTATGAGTACTTTACATGTGCTATTAAATATTTTGTTTATCATACAATAATGTAATAATATATTTGCAACTCAGATTCTTCACTTTATGTGTTTTAAAAAAAAAATAGTAAGTGACTTAAAATTAAATATCCTAGCAAAATTTCGTGAACCTCAAGTTAAGGGTATTGATAAAAGTCACGATACACAAGTTCTTTGCAACTACGTCATTAATGCTCCTTCCACACAAGTTGGGTTGGAGTAATGTTGCTTTAAATTTATTATATTTTGATATTTCAACTATAAAATCCAAACAATACTATATTATTCATATATAATTTTTCATTTTTAATATATATAATATATGATCATGTTTATTTTCCATCACTTCAAAGTAACAAAAGTAGTATAACTTTGTCTAATAAATTTAGATGTAGAAAAATCATTGTTATTGGAACTAGGATCCTCCCCGTAATAAAGAAGCAAATTCTTATTTTTAAACTTATAATGAATTATAAAAATGTTATATAATTATATTAAAAGATAAAATTTTCACATTCTTATTTTTTTTTCATAGTATCATACTCTTATTATTATTATTGAATTAGAGTCATTGAATATCAATTAGTGGTTGGTTGGCAAGTATATATTCCCCTCAAATTAAATAGTATTCTGTAAAAAAAATATTTGTCACTAGTGAAAAAACAAAATTTGAGCCATTGACTTTAGATAATAGTTAAGACCAACCACCACCGCTTAGAAATTAAAAGCAAAAAATAAGCATACAACTCTTTTTCACTTTCAATAGTTTATTTTAAAATTTAATATTTATACCTACAGTAAAGTTCTACACGGTATATTTCTTTTATCTAATAGACAATAATAATTAATATATAATCATTAATAAAATTTTGGACCGCATCGATGTGGCTGCAATATTGTGGTGTGACTCCGAATAACAATGACGTGACCACATCGGATTGCGATGACCACAATCCACAACGATTGCAATATGCATGGTAATAACCACCATCGCACTAGACACAACCGTTACTACAATGACAATTGCAATCACAATTTAAAACACTTTATATGAATAATATAATTTGCAGAAGATATGAAAAAATGTTTGGAAAATTTTTCTCCCTTTGATGTTATTATTATACTCATTATATTTGTTGGTGATGACCAAATAATAGGTTGATGAAAAAACAGAAAGAGAAAGGAAAATTGATGAATGGCTTCCAATGACATCATCAAGGAATGCAAAATGGTGGTATTCAGCTTTTCACAATGTGACTGCCATGGTTGGAGCTGGTGTTCTTAGTCTTCCTTATGCCATGGCTGAGCTTGGATGGTATTTTTCATACCCAATTACTATTTTATCTTCACCTCTATTTAATACTAGAACAAAACATTATGTTAATTCTTTTTAGTACAAGAATAATGTTTAGATCTTTTTTTAACATGTTTTAATCACAAAAACAATAGTAAAGTACTCTAAAAGTTACTTTACTTTTAGTACCATTGTTTCTATTTGCGAACTACATCACATGAACATGGAATCACAGTCGATGTGGAAGGTTGTGGTGCACATCAGAGTGCATTTGGGCTGTATCATGCTGCATTGGACCACTTTAGGCCTGCCCAATTTAAAAATATTTTTTTATCACAAAAAAATTAACACCGCAACGACCTGCAGTTCACATCACAATGACTGCCCTTGCAGTAACTGCAATTTAAAACATCATTTACTGTGATTGCGGGTGACGACATCATTGTGGAGATCCTCAAAATTGTAATATTACAGTCACAATTGCAACAATAGAGTAACAAAGTTTTTTCAGTAATTTTATTAAGGAACCTTATCCTATACCAATATGTTTGTTGAATTGAGATTGACTATGATTTCTTCAGGGGTCCTGGTGTGGCTGTACTAGTTCTATCATGGATTATCACCTTATACACACTATGGCAAATGGTTGAGATGCATGAAATGGTTCCAGGAAAACGGTTTGACAGGTACCATGAACTTGGTCAATATGCCTTTGGTGAAAAGCTAGGCCTTTATATTGTAGTGCCTCAACAACTTATAGTTGAAGTTGGGGTCAACATTGTATATATGGTCACTGGTGGAAAATCATTGATGAAGTTCCATGATACAGTGTGTGATAGCTGCAAAAAGATCAAATTGACCTATTTCATTATGATATTTTCCTCTGTTCACTTTGTATTGTCCCATCTCCCTAACTTGGACTCAATTTCTGGTGTTTCTTTAGCAGCAGCAGTTATGTCCTTGAGGTACAACTTATACTCTATCAATGTTTTAAATTATAGTCCGCAATTAAAATTTGAATATACGATATTGTGATCTCGATAATCTCTGTGACTATACAATGGCTGCAATCGTAGTAAACGTCACTGCAATGCAATGTGTGACTGATTTTTTTGTGTTGTCCTACAGCTACTCTACAATTGCCTGGGCAGCTTCTGCTCATAAGGGTGTTCAAGAAAATGTACAATATGGTTACAAAGCTAAGACTACAGCCGGAACAGTTTTCGGGTTCTTTAGTGCTCTTGGAGATGTGGCTTTCGCCTATGCCGGACACAATGTGGTGCTGGAAATCCAAGCAACAATTCCATCGACGCCGGAGAGGCCATCGAAGGGTCCTATGTGGAAAGGAGTGGTTGTTGCTTACATAGTTGTTGCTTTGTGCTACTTCCCGGTTGCTTTAGTCGGTTATTGGATGTTTGGCAATGCAGTTCAAGACAACATTCTCATCTCTTTGAATAATCCGAAATGGCTTATTGCATTGGCTAACATGTTTGTTGTCATTCATGTTATTGGAAGTTATCAGGTTAACTTCAATTTCTCTTATTATATTATACTTCTGCATTTTAAATTTACCTTTCTTTTATTTTGGCTCAACCTCTATTTTCTTGATGTAGATTTATGCAATGCCCGTGTTTGACATGATTGAAACTCTATTGGTGAAGAAATTGAATTTCCCACCTAGCAATATTCTTCGCTTTGTTGTACGAAATGTGTATGTGGGTAAGTAATCTATATGTTTTTTAACAAGTCGATACATAAATTGCGAACCACGTTATATGATGACTCGCGGCATCTTTTTGTGTGGTTGTCGATACCACATCAAGACATGATGGTGATCCAAATCAGCCTAGAACAGCCACAAGGCCCACAACCATATCGCAACTGCGTTCACACTTCCAATGAATTTTTCCTTTGAACTCTACTGATATTTCGTTCTCTTTTATTTCAGCATTTACAATGTTTGTTGCGATTACCTTCCCATTTTTCGGTGGTCTCCTAGGATTTTTTGGAGGATTTGCTTTCGCTCCAACGACATACTTCGTAAGCATGGAATGCTTAATTTTAATTAGGAGTCATTCGGGTAAATGTATTTTGCTTAAATATTTATTGTCTTATATTTCAGCTCCCCTGTGTGATGTGGCTTTCAATCTACAAACCAAGGAAATTCGGTTTGTCTTGGTGGAGTAATTGGGTATGTTTCATTATTGTTCTTCTTTCCATTATTCTTCCGAGGGTGAGCTTGGCGCAATTACAAAATTGTTGCTTAGTAACTATGAGGGCATGAGTTTAAATCCCGGAAGTAGTTTCTCTGCTTGCGGGATAAAGGCTGCATATATTTACCCTCCTCATATCTCACTAAGTGGGAGCCACCTCGTGCACTGGGTCGCCCGATATATTTCATTTTTCTCATATAATTGGTTCCATTTTAAG